AATTTTGCGATAAACCCGTCTCATATAATCTTCCATAGATTCCTCATCTGGCTTGCGGATGCCTAACATATGGCGAATCATGCGATACTGTACTGCACGGATACGGCTAAGATGAGCTCTGGTGAAATTCAAACTTCCAAAACAGAAAAAGGCGGCCTGCCGCGCGATCGTATCCAAGAGGCCGAGACGCTTCGAGATGGGGCTGCGCTTGCCGCATAGGATTCCACGATGTGCGCTGAAGGCTGTCCCGGCTCTCGTGATGCCTCTGCTGACCGCCGAGGAAGCGCAGTTATCCAGGGTGATCCACGCCCCCAGCTGACGAAATCCCTCAGAGCGACCGAGACGGGGGGCGAGGCCTTCTTCCAAGCGCAGCGTCGCCGCCGAGCCCTTGGCGGTCGCGAGCCAGAAACAGTCGCTGAGCAAGACCGTGCAAGCAAAGCGCTGGCGTAAGATACGGTGCCATTCCGTCCACATTGCTCTCAGCATCTGAGCGGAGCTGGCAAGCAAGTAAAAGTTGCCGGCGAAAACCATGAGGGGTAATCGGGCGATCCTTGGGTCCTTTTTGCGTTTCTTCTGGGCGTTCAGCATAGCCAGGTCCTCGGGTTCCAGCGGGTAACCCCATCCGTTTTTTTTTTTCACATAAAACTTCAAACTCGGAGATCGGGTCACCCAGGAAGAGGTTGAAAAGTCTGGGTGCCTCAGGGTCCCCCTGGAGCAAGGATCGCGTGCGAGAAACCTGCCGTATGGGTGCCACCCCAGGCAGGAGAAATTCTGATCGTCCACTGCGTATTTCTCGTATCCACGCCGCTGTGATGATTCTGGGGATCTTACGTTTCCGATGATTGCGAAGGATATGGTGATGACGTACATGATCGTAAGCTTTGTGTAAGTCGCCCACCCCCAGGAACAAAGGTTCACGGAATTCCACTGCTCTCTCAATCAACAGGCGGGTTGTGGCTACGACCTCATGCACCTGGTAGCTCTTGCGGAACGCAAGCTGGAGCTTCGACAAGGGCATCTGATCAAGCTCTATCAGCTCGCTCAGGCACATGGAATACAGCTTTAAGCACGCAAGACAGCAGAGCGATCGGGCGGAAATCCTTGACCCTGCAAGCTCCATAGAATTTGGCTAGCAGCGTGACCTGGTGTCTATTGAATATCGGATCTAGTTGTTCACTGGGATGATTACGTAGACGGAGTACATATAATTCAGCTAGTAGGTCCAGGGTTTCGGTGCTAAGTTCTTTCAACATTTCAATGACAATGCAATCATCTCTGGACCTTTTCTTTCCTGGCTTGAGGCGAGACAGGCACTTCCTAATCAACTGGGCGTCCAGGCGCTTGGGCAGCTCCTCCAAAGCCTCGGGGCCCCAGTGTGTCCAAATCCATTTGGGAAGGCTAGCGCCCGTCGGATCCTTAAACAGCGTCTCATAAAACCGAGCCACCTCTTCCCTCATCTCGTCCTCATCCGTCGTGATGTACTCGTTCCCTCCTCCCACCTTCAATGCCTTCACCTTATTCTGTCCACGGAAACGGTCGACTTTACGACGCTGTACGAAATAGGCTGCACGAACATCTTGCTTTTAAAAAGCGAACTGGCGCATCAGCGGGACCAGCTGCAAGCTCATGGCCTGTCTGAGCGTCGGGCCCTGCTCGGCGTTCCGCGCTTGCAAATACTGCTGGATCCTGCAACTCAGAGGATGATCCTTGGGAACGTTCGGGGGTCCCGCGGGGATTTTCTTGCCACAAGTCGAGGCGATCTTGCCCACCAGGGCGGTAAACGAGCCCAGGGAAGGAAAAGGGACACCTTGACGATCGACACGGGTGATCTCCGAGGCAGACGGTGGAACATCCTTTGCGTCACTATCAAGTGTAATCAGCTGAGTCTTGCGCGGTCGATCAAGCAGGTCTCTCCACGGCCCGTGAAAAAGTAATGCCTCCTGCTGGGACGCACACTGAAGATAAAGATGCCGTTGTTCCGACAGAGGGATAACCGAGTTATTGGGGATGGAGCAAAACTTCCCTGCATTCAGGGATGGAATGGGATAAGGCCGGGTGCGGGACCATTTATATTGTTCCATTTCTCCAGGGATAGGTTGACCTCCAGCCCCCGCTAAACGATCAGCGATTTCATTTCCCCTGCACCCAGAATGCCCTTTAATCCAGGAAAAGAAGACCACGTATTCCTTCTGAACGGCCTCCCAGACGTGCTGAAGTAGTAAGGCTAGCACAACATTATGTTTGGGTCGGAACTTGGAATGCAGCATTCCCAAGACGTAGGTCGAATCGAAGACGGCTGCCAGGACCGAACCTCTCGGAATCGAAGCCGCGCCCGTCGGCGGGTGCTGCCCCAATAGCCAGAGTCCCATCTCGATAGCCGCGGTCAGCTCCGCGGCGTTGTTGGTCTGCCTGAGAGCTCCCAAGAAACCTCCCTGAAGGGGATCCAGAAAGACAGGTCCACAGCTTTGGAAAAGCGGATCGACTTGGGCCCCGGGGGTCCTCGAATTCTCAGGAATGCCTGGGGGGTCGTTGAAGACCGAAAAACCCCAGCCGCAAGTCCTACGACGTTTACTGTACTGTTTAAAGTGGCCATCGCCATACAAGCGAAAACGCACGTCATCTAGACTGACTTCGGCCCCAAGGCGAGCTTCGATTCCGAGTTGGTCCCCCACCTTCCCAGCGAAAGTGTGGTCGAGCAATCTCCAGCCAACTGGCTTGGTCTTAAAACTGCACTCAATATTCTGCAAAAACTGCGGCGCAGGTTTCCTCGCGGCAAAGAACCTGAAAACTAGAGGGCAGTGATCACTCTTCCAAGCGGAGCAGCAGCGAGCCTGGCAGTCGTAGGAGCCGCGAGAGGGTCCTCTGCCAATGGCCACGAAGTCTATCTGCCTGGGTTCGAACTTGCCGCCGTAGAAGCAAGCGCATGATCCCATCAAAGGTTTACTCCATGTGTTACTCAAGATCAAGTTGTTACTGACTATGAACTCGTAAATAAAAAGCATCAGTTTTCCAGCTCTTAATACCTGCAGTGTAGGGGGCGACAGTCGAGGACGGTCTAAAGTCGCGCTCGAAGGATGCATTGGCGTCTACGCATAACATGGGCGTGAAATGTGGTGGGCATCTCCCAAGCAACAGTTCGCAATCGGCAATGTCCGTGTAGTATTGACTATGATGATTGGTGTCAGCGTCGAAGTGCGAGCAAACTATCCAGAGGTTCCCGCCGTGAGGGGTGACGATGCCCACGGCGATGCTGCTCCCCAAGCTGATGGGGCCGAAGATGATGCAAGCCTTCAGCGTCTTGTGCACTATGATCGCTGGTCTCCTTTTCCGCCCGCGTACAGGGGGCCCTAGGATCAAGCGATGGCCAGCTATCTCCTCGCAGACTTTCAGCACATCAGTGAATTCTTGAAGACATACAATATCCCAATGGAAGTCGGCCTCCATGAGTTCTAGCCCCCTCGCGGCACTACGCATCGGAACTCCCCTGCAGTTCCAGCTGATGATAATAGTGTCGTCGCAAGATGGAAGGCGTCTATTCGTATCTGAGGATAGTCAAGAGCCACCTCGACGGGGTGGATCATTGATCTCGTCCATATGCTGAGAAATATCTATCTCCACTCCGTGTAACCTCAACCATTCCTGAGCCTCGGGCATCACCTTCAGGTTATAGGTGGGGAAATTGCGCATCAGGATCTTCAACGGATTCCTCGGAAATATATCGACGGGCAGGAATTTGCGGAGCAGCACCACTGAGCCCATGTCCCTGGACGCGTCAATCATCTGCATCAGCTCGGGTTCAGAGAGGCTTGGCCATTTCTTACTAATAGCTGCCTTGAGAAGGTCTTTGGCGTGTGTGGCTCGGTTCTGGCAGGTCAGTTCCTCTGGATATTTGTCGATCGTGTGCCACAACTGCCTCTTGGTAGGGTCACGTGCATCTCGCGGCCTGTTCTCATGCGCAAGCGTGGAAGCGAACTTCTTGCCCTTCATGGCGACCAAGCAATCCCACATCTTCTGGCTCGTCTCGAATTCAATATTGACGCGATCCGCGTAGCTGCCCACAGGAAATACTTTCTTTACCCCCGTGATGTGGCAATCGGCTAAGATCTGCTTGAGATCATTGGTAAGTTCCAACCCCTCAGTGTACTGATATCCTCCTACACACAAAATCTGCCGTTTATTGACTGGAGGCCTGATGGTGGGAGGGGCGGCTGCAAAGTCGGATGTCGATCCAGCAACACTACCAGCAGCTTGTCCGTGGCCAGCACTACCTGTTCCTCCTCCTCCTCCCCCGTTCTCAATGACGGTGACTCGGGCGGTCAGGTTCACTAGATCGGTCTTCATGGCGGCCACGGTTTTGTCAGTATTCTTGACTTTGTTTGCCACTTGCTTAACTTCCTTCTCCAAAGGGAGCACGCTCTGGGCTAAGGTACTACGGAAATCATTAGTCAGTGCTCTGAATAAACGTGTCTCCATGCCGTTCTCCAATCCTTCAGGTACTGGAGCTGGCTGTGCGATAACGGCAGAGATGTCCCCTGGGTCGGTATCTCCGTCACTCATGATATCCTCGATCTTGTCCTCCTCCTCTTCTGTGGACGTCCTCGCCTTCACGCGGCGTTGTCCGAGTGCGGCGGCAGGGACAGCAGCTGCGGCCGCGGCCGCTCCACCGCCAAAGCCTGGGGAGACGGGAGCTGCCGAGGAAGCCGCGAGCATCCGTGGTGTCGATGTGCGTGCCACACAAAATGAGTGGCGGTGAGACTACAAAAACTGATGTGCGAGGGTGAGATACAGCTCCCTGATGATGACTTGAGCCAAGATGGCGACGACGACGACGACGACGACGACGACCACGACGACGACGACGACGACGACGACTGCGACGACGACTGCGACGACGACAACGACGATGACGACGACGGCGGCGACGACGGCGACGAGAGCGGCGGCCACCACCACGGCGACGGCCACGGCGGCGGCCGCGGCGACGCCGACGGCCGCCGGGCCTGGCATGCTGCTGGCCAGCCCAGGCGGGACGCGCAGCCGCGGCGCCATCACGAACGACCGCACGGCGCCGCTGTGGCCGACGCGGAGCGCGACGTACCGTCCAGAGTCCAGGTGAACCACCTCACGGGTTCGATTCCGGCTTGCTGTCTCATTTTTGGCCCGATCACCATGGAGAGGGGGAGGGAGGAAGAAGAAGGAGACGACGCTGTCTCGTTTTTGGCCCGATCATCTTGGAGAGGGGGGGAGGAAGAGGAGGGAGACGACCTCGCAGCAGCTCAAGTCGAAGTCACGACTGGGCGTCAAAGTAACTTCACGGAAGCACAAGCGACAATGCGGGGCTGAAACGCGATATCTCCAATGTCGGACTGCAGCAAACCTGGAGGCGACGTAATCCAGCCGAACCTGAGCTGCCTCGGAGGCCAGAGGAAAAGGAGGAGGAGGACACCTCACAAGTTTCCCTTGTCAACGTTTCCTTATTCGGCGTTTCGACATTGGGCGGGGGGGGGCGGAGTCTGGCTCCGGAACTCTGCTTAGTGCGACCGTTTGCAGCAGTGCGTCCTATGGAGTCTCCACCTGCTCGACAGGCGCCAAGAACAGCCAGGACCTACTCCATGGGGGGGGGTGCAAGGGCCCGCGCCGACTGGCAAAACAAGGAATGAGAAAACGACGACCATCGCCCCCCTTTTTGCCTCGAGGTTCGAGGCAAGCCATCCTCCCTGACCTCGAGGTGCACCACCCCGAGGATCCAGGATGAGGGTGCCGAAGACGTAAACCCCCACCCCCGCGGGGAGGCCACGCAGAGCTGCTCTGGCGACGCGGGGGTGGTGTTTGCCTTCGCGTCCATGGATGGCGCATCGTACGTGCCCCACCCCACAAGATCTACCCCGCCCATGCACGAGGGAGAGCTGTTGTGACGACGTGGGAGGTGGGGGGCAAACTCCGGACCCAAAGAGGGTGGTGGACTCGGGCAAGGAAAGCGCCCTGTATACGGTGAGGAACGCTTGCGTAGCGTGTCGCGGCGGCGGCGCAGCGCGTCCCAACAACATGCCACGCCCTGCAAGCCCATCACGTCTCGCTCCGCTCCGCGGGCTGGGAGGCTGCAAAGCTCGGAGCGCTGGTGCTTGGGGACTGGGAGGTGCTCAGCGTGTCGCGCCAGAGCGCGGCGTGCCAGAACCGGCGGCGCGCGACCGGATCCTCGTCGTCCAGCCTTCCGGGCACGGCTCGGGCCCCTGTGGCGGCCGTTGGGGACGAGCTGGGCACCCGAGGACGCTCCTCGGCGAGGCGCAGCTGCTGGAGAGCACCCCGAGGCTGCAAGACCACCGAGAACCGACGAAGACGTCCGGACACGTGCCCGAAGCGGGCAAGACCCACAGGCGAGGAGAGGAGAGGGGGTGGAGCCGCGACGGGCGAAGAGGAGACCCCGACCAGACGGGGCCCGCGGAGCGCGAGCCGGCTGGCGCACGCAGTTAGCAGGCGATCGCCCGATCGATCGGGGAGGATCGGCGGCGATCCCGGGGGGGACAGTGAGAAGGGACTGGCCTCCGCAGAAGGCTCGGAGAAGTCCCCTGGGCTTCTGAGCAGTTTCCCGAGCCTTCCCCCAAGGACACAGGGAAAACTTCTCAGAAGGCGCAAGGGCTTCTGAAAAGTCCCGCCGCCTTCTGAGAAGGCCTTCTCCCTGTCACTGCCCCCCTCGTGAGTGAGCAAAAAGGGCCCCGAACCCTGTGGGAGGGGACCTAAGTTAGGAGGGCCAACAACATTGGGGGTAAAGGGGGCCTTCTCTGCAGATGTGCCGAACCAGCTGCCCAGATGTTTTACCTCTGATGCAAAGACAGGGACCTCAGTGAGGCCACGTCTCCGTCGTGCCATCAGGGCTAGGGGTTCTAATTGTCCTCGGTGACCTCGCTCGCCGCCAAAGGGGAGCAGCGGCCCCAGGATCGGGGGCCGAGAGGCCCGAGCGGTCTCGAGCCGCGCTCGGGCCTCTCCGCCGCCCGCGGAGGGGCCCCTTCCTCGAAGAACGGGGCGTCCCGTGGCCGGCTCTCCCGAGGGAGGTCCGACTCTTGAGGGGGGGGGGGGGCCGGCACCGCCTCGCCACCTGAGACGCCTCCTCCTCCTCCTCTCCTCCTCCTCCTCCTCCTCCTCCCCCTCCTCCTCTCGCTCCTCCTCCATCCTCCTCCTGTTCTCCTCCTCCTCCTCCTCCTCCTCCTCCTCCTCCCCTCGCTCTCCTCCTCCTCCTCGTTCTCCTCCTCCTCCTCCTCCTCCTCCTCCTCCTCCTCCTCCTCCTCCTCCTCCTGCTCCTCCGGCCGCACCACCTCGCCACCTGAGAGACGCCTGGCGCCCTGGTTGCTCCGAGCCCACCGTCGGCCTTCCGTCTGGGCTCCCTCCTCCGGGAACGGCGCTCGGGCCCGGAGAGGAGGGGGCCGCACCGCCTCGCCACCTGGGACGCCTGGCGCCCTGGCTGTTCCGAGCCCACCGTCGGCATTCCGTCTGGGCCCCCTCCTCCGTCTGGGCCCCCTACCGTTCGGGCCCCCGTGCCCTCAGACCTCTTCCTGTTCGCCAGCGGCGAGGCAGACGCGGTCCGCACCAACGTGGGGCTCACCGGGGCCACCGATGGGCAAAAATTGTCCGGCGTGCACAGGCGAAAGAAAGAGAGAGAGAGAGAGAGACAGGCGAGAGAGAGAGAGAGAACAAAGTGTCCGGCGTGCACAGGCGAGAGAGAGAGAGAGGCGAAGACGAGGGCGGCCGGTGCCATCAACCATGGGCCTGTGAAAACCGCCTGGCCCTGGGCAAGGGGGTCGGGGGCTCTTGAAGGGGCCCTGGGACACACAAATAGATAGACACAAACAACAGGATTCCCCATATGTGCCCGTGTTTTCTGGACTTCTGTGTGTTCCTCCCCACTTCCCATAGTTTCGAATATTTTCCTGGGAATCGACGATGACTTGTGTCTGTGTGTTTCTGTCCCCTCCTGAGGCCCTCTGATCCGCAAAGGGAAGACGTCAGCCCGTCAAGGGTACGGGCACTTCAACGCTCGGAACAGTTCTCGGGGGAGGCGGCGGAGGCCCAAAGAGGATCGGGTCGGGCGAAAGGGGGGGATAGCAAAGGGGGGGGTTGAGAATCAGCTCACGTAGCTGATTTTCCTGGCGCCTCCCGGCGCCGGAGGCGACTGTGTATCGAGGAATGGGCCCCTCGGTGGGGCCGAAACCAGCTGCATGCAGCAAATTTCGTACCCCCCCCTTTCCCAATCCCCCCCTTTCGTCCGGCCCGAGAGGAGCGCAAACGTCATAAAACCCTCCCCTTCCCCGGTCTGCACCACAAGGAGCGATGATCAAAAACGGGTCTTACGCAGGATGGCGCAGCGACCCCTCGCGCGGCTGCTTCTTCCGCGGGCCGCCCGCGCGGCACGCCACAGTGGAGACGAGACGAGGGCGCTTACGCGCGACCTTTCGCGAGCAGCTTACAGTCGGGGCGTTGACCTAAGGAACCCTAAATAAGGAACGAGGCCCCTTTTTTCCATAAGTGAACCTTCGATTTCCTGTCGAAGACATAAGGAAAGCCTGAGGCAAGCTGTGAAACACTTAAGGAACGCGGAGCCCCTTCCCAACGACAAGGGTTCCTTCTTCAAGGCCCCGACTGTGCGCGTCAATGTCGGCGCAGACGACCCCGTCTCTCTGTGTCGCCCACCTGGCTTCGCACGAAAGTTCGTTCGATAGCTTCTTTGGCCGCCCTTCCGCGGGCGACCCCAGGACCGGGGCTGGACGGCCCCCTCTCAGCTACTTGAGCGCCGAAGGTGCCGTTCACCCGCGGAGACGTGTGCACCGCCATTGTCAAGACAAGAGCCAGCAGCCCTCGAAGGTTCGAGGATCGGGGTTCGAGGGTCGGGGATGTAGGCTCGATGGTTTCGGCGCAGCTCTGAGGTGATCCAGCAGCGGCCAGGGGCGTCAAGGAGATCTCCAGAGGCCCGCGGAAGCATCCAGATGCTTCCGAGAAGGGTACAGGAGCGAAGAGGGAAGAGGGAGAGTCTGAGGAGAGAGGAGTGCGTAGAGGAAAGGGGGGAGAGGGAGAGGGAGGAGGGGCCCAGGGAGAAGGGGGAGACGAGGAGGGCGAGGCGAGCAGAGGAGAGAAAGAGGGAGAAGGAAGTAGGGGAAAGAGGGAGAAGGGAGCAGAGGAAGGAGGGACGAGGGAGAGGGAGGAGGGACAGGCGAGGCGCGCTCGCGCCATAGTTGACATCCTATCCCTCCCTCACCTTCTTCTCATCTGCGCTGAGCTTCCCGTATCCGCGAACGCGTGTCGTAGCCGACCTGGCGATCCAAAGACGACCCCAACGTGTTGGGCGTAATCGGAAAGAGGGGAGCTGCGAGCACAGCGGGAGGGTGAGGTGGCGGGTGAGCAGGGAGGATGAGCAGGACGAGGAAGGCGGAGGACGAGGACGAACAGCAGCAGCAGCAGCAGCAGCAGCAGCAGGAGCTGGAGCGGAAGGAGTGGGAGGAGCAGGAGGGCCTGGGGAAGGCGGACGAGGGGAAAGGAGGGGGGCGGCAACGAGGAAAAAAGAGCTCGGATCCGGGATGCTTGCCCGCGCCGGTGGCGGGAGCGCCGGTCGGAAGGACTGGAGCACATGGCCAATCCGAAACTGAGGCCCACGCGGAGGCACCCCGGAGCAAAGACGGATTGCAAGAGCGCGTCGGACAACAACAAAAGCTCGTGCTGAGACACTGCGCGTGACAAGAACAACAGGACAGGGAGAGGGCCGAACACTTTTTGATTCGCGGGTCGGGAGCGCACCTCTTGCGGTCGAAGCTAAGCGGGCCGCGCGAAGCTTGAATTAATCAGAGATGGGGGAGGAAAATGGGGGCGCAGCCTCAGAACGAGGCCGGGAGGAGGCAAAGCCTCGGAAACAGGCAATGCCGAAGCCGACGTACTTGCAAAGGAGCGCCTTCTCCATGAACCCGGTGGCGGAGGGGGAGAGGGCCGAACACGTCCAGCACAGGGTCAGAGGGGAGGGGAGAGGAGTACTCACAACGTGTACCCGTGGAGGGAAGAGGAGCTGCTCCTGCCCTCATCCGTCTCCGACGCCTCCCTGCTGCTGCTGCTCCTCCTCCACCTCGGGGTTGGAGGGGCGGTGCACCTGGGATGCGTACTGGCCAGTCATGGGGTGCGTTCTGTCAGATTTTCCCACGCGGATCCAGCCGCGGCCTCGACCGAACTCATTCCTTCCTCCTCCTCCTCCTTCTCCTCCAGATCTGGGACTTCTCCTTCCTGCTCCACAGATCCCAAACGGTCTGCCGCGCGCCCCCGCTCCAGGCCCACTCCATGCGTGGCGTCGGCGAAGGCGACGCAGACGTAGTCGTCGTTCATGCCGAAGGTCACTGACACCACGGGCTGTCGCGGGCTCTTTTTCAGCAGGCTTCCTCCCCACGAGCGGCGAACGTATCCCTACGGGGACGCGCTCGCGGTCTGGATTCTGGGGCGCGATTCCGAGGACACGCGGACGCACGGACTCCTTCTGCGCTGGGCATCCGCCAAAAAGCGCCCCGCATTCCAGCAGGCTTCCCAGACCTCCGGCGTCACAGAAAGCGCGAAAAAGCGCCTCGCACTTCAGCAGGCTTCCCAGACCTCCGGCGCCACAGAAAGCATCGCGACGGCCAGCCTGGTCGCCACTTGGGGGAGGCCCCGCTCTCGGGGCCCCGGATGTCGCCCAGAGAAACGGCTTGGGACGGAGGGCCAGTCCTGGGGAAGCGGGGCAGGGGGGGGTCAAGAGCTCCGAGGCCCACGGAGGGGGGTGGGGGGGGTCACGCCACGAAAGATCGTGAGTTCTGGGCTCTGCGTGCAAGTTCCGCGAATGCACGACGAACATTCCCCGGCCCCCGTTGAGAGCACCCCGAACTCACAGTCTGAAAACTAGGGGGCCAAATGCGAACCCTACCCCTACCCCCCACGAGTTCTGAGGGGGAGGGTGGGGTTCGCTTCGCTCGGGAGCTCCCGAACGAAGTGAACCCGACCCTCCCCCTCGGAAATCGTGGGGGGTAGGGGTAGGGTTCGCGTGTGGCCCCCTAAAAACATGGAACGGAGAAGAAGTGCCGCGGTGAGCGCCGAACGGCGCCACCAGAGCTCTGCGCGCGCGCGGCCACCCGCCCGCCTCTCCAACGCTCGGCCATACCTTGTGGACGGACCCGCCAGCCCTCCACATCGTGTGGCCGCCGCCGCGTTCCGCACGCAGGCGCAGCCGCGTGGGCTGCCAAGATCGCAAAGGGAACTCGCGGCCGCGCCCTCCTGCTCGACTTTGTGAGCTGCATCGGT